TTCTCCTCTCCTCCCATGTACTGCTGAGAGTCTCTTCCCATGCAGGGGAGACCTGAAAAAAGCAGCAAAGTGCCTGTCTTTGAAACCCAGGAGGTTAATTTAGCACAAAAGGAGAGAAAAGTCCCAGTGTGGGTGTGAAGGCTCGACCACTAAAAAATGTGGCTTTGCTCTTTGTCTTTGCAGATGACGACTCGTGGGACCTGGTCACTTGCTTCTGCATGAAGCCTTTTGCCGGGCGGCCGATGATCGAGTGTAACGAGTGCCACACCTGGATCCACCTCTCCTGCGCCAAAATCCGCAAGTCGAATGTCCCAGAGATCTACATCTGCCAGAAGTGCCGGGACTCCAAGTTTGACATTCGCCGTTCGAACCGCTCCCGGACGGGCTCGCGCAGGCGCTTTCTGGACTAGGGGGAGGCGGTGCTGGTGCGCTGCGCGGGTGGGCGAGCCGTGGGTGCTGGCTGGGAGGCCGGGAAGGGCTTCCCCAAACTGCTGCTGCTCGGGCGGGAGAGCTGCCCGGCTGGCCCGCGGCGCAGGGACGAGGAATCGCCAAACCACGGGCAGCTGGGGCTGGGAGAGGCCAACTGGTCAGAACTGCGGCGAGATACTGACTGTCTCGAGGGACAGACGAAGCTCTCTGAGCTCGGTGGAGTTTTGTCCGGTTACGATGACTGGGTGATGTCTGGGGAATGTACAATACCTTTGCCATAGAGGTTTTCTCATCCCATTGGAAACTGCAAATCCTCTCTGTGCTAGGAAACTCCTCCTCCAAAGAGGGAGGGGAGGAGGAGGAAGTCTATGTGAAGAGTCTGAAAAGTAAATGGCCCTGTGTTTTAAATTCAATGAAATATTATACCTGCCCATTTTTCCGTATAGATCAATCTTAGATGTCCTAAGGCTCAGTAGGAGCCAGCGTCAGTGCTACCAGCCTCTGTGTGATCTGCTGCCGCTTCCACAGGCTTGGGAAAATGGGAGTTCTGCAATTTGGCATTGCTCAAGTGCAAATGGGACTTGGGGCTCCCTCCTGTGCCAAGGGACAGCACCCTGGCAGGAAAGAGCAGCCCTTTTTCTGGACAGGCAGCGTGGGGGATCAGTGGCATCAGATTCTTCCCTACAAGGTCTCTTCATAGTGATTTTTTATGATTTTATTTGCATGATCAGCTCAAAAGTGTGTATGGAGGGAGACTGCTCCGTTTCCTGTCCCTTTGTTAACCTCTACGGGGCTGTTTTAAGATGATGACTCTCCCTCTTCTCAGCCCAGAATTCAAACATGGACTCTAAAAGGGGCCAAAGTAAATGTAGAGCCTGGCAGGTCTGGCTGGGATTTGATCATGTCCATCCAAGTACAACAGCTGAGTTGATTTCTGTTTTCACTGTTTTTTGAGACCGGACTGTAACCAGAAAGCCAGAATCTTTAACCTACTGGTAGCAATGACACAGCTCAAAGCGAACGCAGGCGATGCAGCTACAGGGTGAAGTGCAATGAGGATCCATCCAGTGCGGGGTGGACAGGAAAGCAGGCCCCAGCCAGCCTCAGCCCAAGGGAAATCCCTCCAGAACCACGGTGGGGAGTCACAGCTCATACACAAGGCCAGGGAGATGCTGGTGTTGTTCCTCGATGACCAAATGCATCTCCGTGGGTCACACAAATTGGGTTGATGTTTCAAGGTATTTCCCTGAAGTTCTGCCTGGGGAATAGTGTATGCTCTGTCCAGGGAGACCAGGAGGCTCGAGGAGACACTGGCTGGTACCGCAGCCACAGCCAGACCAGCTGTGCCAGCAGGAACATGTCCTGAGTTCTGCAGTCACAGCATTGGAGCACTGCCTTGTCTGAGGACTAGCTCACTGGGAGATGTGCCCTGGTGATGACTGAGGGTCTTGCCAGGACACAGGGTCTGGTGCCCTTCTTCAGACATATGTGCTGGAGCTGCCAAAGCCTCGGGCAGCCCAGTGCCACGGGGTCCTGGGCTCCATGGCGTGGGACATGGGGGCACAGGAGGTCTGCCAGACTGGCAGGGCAACAGAGCTGCGTGACTTGCAACTTCTGTCCTGCTTCTTGATAAAAATCCTATTCCACAAAGCTGTAACAGCTGACTCTGGGTTCAGAAAACCAGCTCCAGCTTCTGTGAAATCTCAAGACCATGACCATGCTGTGCTGCCTTCAGAAGCTACATGGAACCACCAAGGAGTTTGCCAAAGACTCACCCCTGACTGCTGCCTGACTGTCCTTTGCAGCCAGAAAAATAACCAAAGCACTCCAATGCTGCCATTTCACTCTGCAACCGGAAAGGCTTAGGAAGGTCCCAGCTGCTGCTGCACAAGGGTTGGACCCGTTCTGGAATCGGTCTCTCTGTGTTTGCAGTGTGTCCACAGTTCAACTGGACCTCCATGGAGCGCGTTCCTGAAGCTTTTATGGGTGCACTGCCAAGTGAACTGGCTCTTTTTTACAGAGGTTCGACACTAATCAATGTGACTGACTCTTGTTCTGTTCCCTTTTCAGATTTATCCCAGTGAATGGTGTCTGACAAGTCCAGCACGTTACAGTATCAGCAGAGAGAAATAAAAAAGTAACATCTTCATTCTTTTAGTTCATCACTTTCAGCCATGTATAATTATAGTTTAATTCAGAACTTTATTTTTTCATTAAAACTTTTAATGAACCATGTTTTTTTCTTAAATGTGAAATAAGTGAACAATGAGTTTGTTTTATTCCAAACTCGGGAGTCTGCTGTTATGATTTACTGGTGTGTGCGCTGTTGTGCCAGGCAGCAACAAGATCTGATGCTTCAAATGCTCTTCCCTAAACAATACACCCAGTCAGGCAGGGATAGGAAGTAAAGGCAGGTATACCCACCTTTCTCCAGAGCAGCTGCTCCTTGCCAGCCTCTGGTGAGAGATCAGGTCCCTGCAGCCTTGGAAAAAGCCCTGGGGGCTGCACTGCATCTGCCTCGTGAGGACTGGCTGCTTGGCCAGACCCAAACCAACCCCTTGAGAACCCTCCAGGAGCTGTGCTGAAGGAGAGCTCCCTCCTTCCCTCCCCACTGCCAGAGGACTCCAACCCACCCAAGGGCTGCCTAAGCCTTGGTGCCACCCTGCAGCTCCGGTATGTGCCATGACCCTGCAGGCACTGCTGCTCAGCCAGCTGCCATCAAAGCAGCCTTAACATCTTGGCAAACTGAAAAGGTGGCTCAACCTTTTGCATATGGCACTAGGTCATACTGGAAGCTAAGCTCTCGTGGCTTATAGCTTCTGTTTTAATTCTGTTGGTAATTTTGAATTATACAGAGAATTGAATTATAAAGAGAAGTCCCAGGGAGCTGTGGCTGTAAAATGGCAGCTGCTCACAGCAGGAATGTGATTCCACAGTGGGGCTGTTCTTACAGTCTTGGCAAAACTTGTCACTGACAGAAGACAAGGAAGAAAGTAGTAGGTGGGCTGGAAAGACTGACCCAGCAACTGGCTCCCAGGGATGCTCTCCTGGGAGTATTCTGCCATGTCCTAGTCCCTGCAGGCTGGCTCTCACTCCTGACCATACACCTCACACAGTGAAAAGACACAAAAAGGGAACTTCTGGTAGAGATTTCTGCCCAGTCCCTCAAGTCCCACCTAGCAATGACCAGCAGCAGTCAATGAGCTGGATGGAATGGAGGGTGCTATTATGTTTACAAAACCTGCAACCCTTGCTTTCCAGGGGTTTATTTTCAGGAGTCTCCTACAGATGCAAAGGGAATGGGAGCTGCTTTTCAGCTGAATATAATTTATTGCACATTTTACATTTAATTTCAGATCAACAGAACACTGGTTGTAAGTGAAATAAAGCCCTGCATCAGGAGCTGGTCACAAATGAAGAGTTTTGGTTTTAATAAAAACAAATGAACACCCCTTCACAACATGAACTTGTTTTTTAGAGAAGGGAGCATCTCTTTCAGACTGGCTCAAACAAGTCTACTTTTGGAAATCTAGTTCTCCTGTTGCAGTAATCTGAGCACAGAGAACCAAAGCTGCCCAGAACAAGGGCCAGGCCCATGTCAGGAAAGGAGTTATGGCAGGAGTTGTCAAGAGCATTTCTCCACTGCCAAGACATGGGTGTTTTCCCCTCTGCTCTCACCAGTGAGCAGTGAAGGCTGGTCTAGACTCACCTGGAGCAGACCAGTGACCAAGGAACAAGGATTCCTTGTCTCTCTGTAAAAGCCTTGGTGGTGCTGACGTGCCCAGTGTGTAGCAGATTCTACAAGGTGCCGTTTTCAGCTGCTGTGTCACCAGCCCAGGACTGTCCCTCCGCTGGAAATCCCTGGCAAGGCTTCTAGGCAAGATAAATCCCATGGATTTATGCCATAACTGCTGCTTTTCAGAAAGGGCAGCTGAATGTTACATTTTCAGCTCTTTATCCATTTGGCCTCTCTCCTCACTTTGGTCTGGTTTACTTACATGAACTACATTTGTTTTACCTAGAAATAAATTAGATGGGAAGAGATAGTTGCAGCATCAGAATCAAATGAAATGAATTGCTGTCTTTCTCCTCACTAGCTCTCCTATTTTTCCAAAAACCTTGATGATACATGGATGTGGATGGCAGAAGAATTAGTAAGAGTATGATACCCCATGTCCTTGTCTGGAATAGCAGTGTTGGAAATAAGCAGCTGGACAGATTGGTGCTGAAGAGGTCAATGTTACTACAAAAGGCAAAGACCTTCATACTTAACAAAAGTATGTGGTTAACAAGTGCATTTCAAACACAGATTTGAGATGGAATCTCTCTCTGACCTCTTTCCAACAAAAAGGCTTTGCACAGGGGACTTCCAGGAGGTGGCCCGAGAACTGAAATTCCCCTCAGGAGCAGGAAAAGGTGTGTTAACTGCCCCAGGAAGTATGTGGAGAAGTGAGAACAACAGGTTTTCATCCCTGCTCAGTGCCAGGAGGTACGTGTGAGCGCACGAAGGGGCCGTGGCCAGCTGGCAGGAGGGCACCTGCTCAGCCCTCTGGGCAGAAAGCACTGTGCACTCAGAGTCACGCTGCTTTATTGAGTACCAAGCCACAATATTGCCTTGAAGCTGCCTGGAGCAGCAGGGTCTCTCCTTTTGTCCCTAACAGAATTGGCAGGACACCACCTGCTATATGGACAGTAAAAATAAAAGTGTCTCTGTTCAAACTTGCAGCGTCCGGGGGAGGTTGTGCAGTTTCCATTGACCCAGGTCCCGTGGCAGACACGAGCTCCCAGATTAGCCATCAGCATCAATCCTGTGAGCTGTCAGGAGAACAAGGAATGGACACATGCTAGAACCCACCACCGTACCAGGAACAGGCAGGAGCATTTCTGGCTGCTAATTAAACATGACTCATATACACCTCCCAAGGCACTTCTGGAAGCTCTGTCAGTTGGATGTGCTGCTCACACTGGCCAGGGAGCTGGTCTAGAGCAAACAGAGGTCTCTGCCTTTGATCCAACCTGCCAGACCCACAGAGGTGACAGTAAAACTTGTCACAAGGTTTCACAGAGTTATTCCAGCAGGGAAGATGTTTTGGCAAGTAAGACAAATGGGGATAAAGAAGAAATCTGGCTCAGGCCTCCAACATGCCTCCATACATTCAATTCAGTCCCCATGCTACTCACATTGCTTTGGTATCCTAAGGGCCTCGTTGTCAGCTGACATCACTTGGTGCAGAACTCCTCGGAACTGATAAAGCACTTTCAAACTCTTCTCCTCACCCACGCAGGGGTCGTAGAAGCCTGGCAGCCCAGCCTTCAACCAGAAAAGGACAAACTGAGCATCAGGGAATGGACTTTCACAGTTCTTCAGTTGGCCAGAAACATCTACTAGTGCCAGGACAAGTGTCATTAAAAAAAGTTTTGCTGCCAGAAAGGTGAGATGCTGAGGAATCACCTCTGCAAGTTTTGAATACATAAAAGTAAACCAGGGGGTTGGGAAGTTTCTGGTGTACAGCCCCAGGGTCTGCAGACACCAAGATGCTGTTTCTTTGGCACTGGAAACACCCAGAGAAACAGAAGTTCCTGGACGTTCCTAACACTTGGTATGTAAATGGCTTCTGTGAATTGATCCAGAGTCACTGGAGAGATCCCCTGGCAGGACACCACATGGTTCAACTGAAATTCTGGGTCACACATTTGAGTCATGGAGTCTGGGCTTTGACAGAACAGCTTTGACAGAACGTACCTTGGAGGCCTCTGTAAGGATGAGTTTAGAGTCCTTCACCAAGCACTGCAGGGGCACAGTCACATCTATTACCTTCACCTTCTCATTCTTCCTGCTGTTGTCATTAACAAACTTCCCATACCAGGCATTCACTATAATCAGACCTGCATGTCCCAGGAAATCACAGCTGTGATGAAAGGCTTCCTGCCATGGCTAGACAGACACTGACAAAAAGACCATCCCAGCATTTTCTCTTGCTTTCACCAAGATTTAATTCTCCTGGCCTGGACCCACTTTTCTCAAGCCAGAACAACATTTCTACTTGGTTGTTTGTTAGCAACCTTCAGCACTAGGATAGAGTGACGAGACTTCAGTGCCACACTGATGTGACAATCTGAGTGGATGTCAGTTCACTTTGGAACACTCTATGGAAAACTGGTAGTAATCATCAGAGATCAGATTGCCACTACAATCCATGAACAATGGGATTGATCCCATGTGAGGGAGAAATCAGTGAAAGCTAAACTTGAGGCTACAACTTTTGCACATATTTATACACACACCTCTCTTTGGTGGAGAGGTGAATCCAGACTGATGTCTTCAGTCTCTTGATCCACCTCACAGCATGTCCCAAAATAATATTCTGTGATCCCTCCTAAGCTCAGGCACCAGGAGCTGAATCATAATGGGACTCCCCATCTCTTTGCTCAGCAGCAACTACACTGCGCTTCATCAGGAGTGGGAATGAAGAAACAACACCTTTGTATTGTTTCTTCTTCTCTTCAAATTTATATAAAAAAGTAAATGATATCATAATCTTTACCCATTCTGGCTTCCTCTGCTTCAATTATCCTTCGGACAGACTCCTGCATCAACCGGACCTGTCACAACACAAGTGGCAGAGCGGAAATCACGCAGGGTCAGACACTGTGGCCAAAAGAGAACAGCCCAGAGGGAAAAGAGCTGCCTTTCACTAAGGGAGACCAAGTTACAAGAAAGACTCACCGCAGCTTCAGCCTCCTGCTTCTTCTGCAGGATGTCACTGGCTGTGTTCTCCCGCTGCTTCTCCAGCTCTCTGGCAGAAGGAAGGCAACACCACATCAGGAATACACAGTAGATGGGATTCAGCCACAAACTGGCAGGTGTCTGCCTACTCATCCCCCCCAGTTAAAGTGACCCACAACCTCACACAAAAGAGCCCTAGTGAGACTTCCTCGCTCTGAATGTGCAGGACAGGCTGGCAGCCTCACCTCTCCTTCTGTGCCCTGAGGTAGGGTTTGATGACCAGCCTGTGCATGGCGAAGTAGATGACAAGAGGTCCCACGGTGGCATAGAACACGGCGCTGGGAAGCAGCTGATCTGTTAGGTGGACAGGGAAGAAGTAGGTCTGGCTAGCCCTATTCAGCCTGCAACAAAAAAGAGCAGAGGGACAGGTAAGAGGAAAAGCAGAGCTGAATGTGCTTGATGAAACACACTAAGCAGCAGCACGTGCTGCTGAACCAAAGGGAGATGAACAATGAGCTCAAGAAATTAAAACTCCAATAAACTGAAAAACCCAATGGTAAGAAAGACAGCTGACACCAGCCAGAGCCAGATTTCAATGAAGCAAACATCTCTCATGATAGTACCTGACCATTGTACAGTGTTTTTTTTGATCTTAGGAGAACAGGAGAATAGGAAATTTGGTCATTGATTTCCCCAAAAAAAGGTGAAAAACAAAATGCTTCTAGAGAAGGCCTGTGTTCACAACACTGGCATGGGCCTTCAGGACAGGTGCATATTAGTATTTTTCTGATGCTTATAACAATATTTATTTTAGAAAACATGAGTTTCCCGAGTTCTTCAGGCCCTTCAACAGTTTGGCATCCCACCTGCCACTGGACATCCCACCACAGCACAAGGACCCTTAATGAGCTCTGCCCCTCCGTGAACTGCACCTTGTCAGTGGTACAATCACTGCATTAGGGAATGGTAATTCCCTAATTCAAGCATACACTTGTGTACAGTGTTACACAAATAGAATCCAGCTCTAAATCCAGCTCTACCAATAGTATTTTCAGAAATCTTCCAGCACCTACCAGAATGCTCCAAACCTCACTTTAAGCTGTATTTCAAAATATTCTGATGCACACAGAGGTGGCTCAGGTTGTAATACCAGTAGAAGGCACCCACTGCTTACCATGGGCACTGCTTGCATTAGAAGTGAGGGCAGCTGCACCCTCTCCCAGTGATGTATCACTACACCTGTAGTGCCCTGGGACTGGAACCTTCTCACTTGAATATTGGAAATAGAATCATGGAAGTTATGGTCAGCCTCTGCAGTCTAGAGTTGCAATCTTGAACTTACTTGATTTTCAAGGACACTCCCTGGGGAACACCAACACTGACGGTGGCTCCTAAAACGCTGTGCCTGGAAATCTTCCTCTCTGCTCCATATTCCACTACGGTCCCAAAGAAACCTGCCCTAGAACAACAGAACCAAAAACTGGTAAGACAGGGAAGACTTCTTCTCTTTACTGAATCCTGTAATTCCCCAACAAGTAAAGCATGGAGATACACCTGCATGCAGCAGATGTTGCCCTCTGGAAGATTCACTGTGTATCTCCAAGGTGAGAATAGCCCTTCCAGCTTGCTTGGTAGTAAAAAGACTACAAGAACTTCTGGCTTTCTTACTGGAGATGATATAGACATATCACACACAAGTATTTTAAGTTCCACATAACCAACCCGCCAAGACATTCACTTCAGCCTTTACCAGATTTAAAGAATGAAAAGCAGATTCCCAAAGGCCACAGAAGCATTTGGGTTGTGGAACCTGGAGGCCTACAGCAGCAGAAGAGGATAGATTCCTCAGGTTGTGAATAATGTGAACTTCCTCTTGAGCACTTACTTGAGAGAACCTTTCACTCGTGTTTGATCCTCATCCTGAAACTTATGCTGGTAACTGACCATCATGAAAGAATGGGGGATTCCCAGCTGAAACACAAGAGGCACAAATGTATGAAACCATGTCCTTGGCCACTGCTGAACTCTCCCCCCAATTTCCTTTCTCATCCTTGAAGCGGCACAGAACACAGAGCAGTGCTTGACACAACCTCTGCAGCCTGTTACCTATGCTGGGTGTAACATGGGATAGTACCAACTGTTCCCTTAACCTCTAGTCCCAAGCCAGACTACTGCCAAGACAGGAAGGTGAGATCCCTCTCTCCCCCGGGGCAGGACTGCTGTCCCTATGGCAGCAGCAGGGCTCTCACCTGCAGTGCCAGGGTGAAGTGGCTGGTTTTGGTGTCCCGGACAATGCTGGTGTTCATGGCTGACTGGATGCCCCACCGCCACTGCAAGTAGCCCATCGTGTTCTTGTCGAGGTTGCGGGCCAGGACTGTGGTGAGGCCGGGGCGGACCCCGCGGGACGAGAACTGCAGGGCACAGTTTGTGGTGATGAAACTATGGAAGTGAGGAAAGACTCATCAGTGCTAAAACACAGGCTCTCAGGTGGCCTCAAATTTCTTCTTGCTCAGGAACTTTGCTGAATGCCTAGAGACCATCCTGCAAGGAGTGCGACACCCGAGGCTTTCAGGGAAAAATCAAAACTAATTCAGACTGCCCTGACCACAGCAGTGCCCAGGAGAGCAGGTCGTGCCCTGGTTACTGCCTGTGCCCAGGCAGCTGCTGCTCCCAACCTTCCCTCCTGCCCTGCACAGGTAACAGCCTGGTCTCTGCAGTGCAGCACACTCAGCTGCTGGCACAGAGCAGCCCTGCTATTTAGTAACCCTCAAGCATCAGCTCCAAGAAGCAGCACTAAAGCTCTCCACAGGGAACAAGAATCCTGTACAAGCTCTGAGGAATGTTGTATTTACTAAATTAGAAAATACAAATGAAGGAGCCTACACTGGCTCCTACAGTGCTCTGGCATGTGACTTCAATCACAGCCCTTACCTTGTATTCTCGCTTGCAACTTAAGACTTCTATTAATTTGTGAACAGACACCTCAGTAGTGGCAAATTTGGTATTATTTCCCAAAAATACAACACATCATCTCCTGTTTTGCTGTCAGAAACTCCCTCTCACACATGGAAGCCTCAGAAGAGCTTCCCAGAGCTTTTGTTCTGCTCCCAGAGCTAACGTCTGTTGCTCTGATTGGAGATCATACCTCAAGTATCATGAATCATGAGAACATCAACTACAAATCTAAGGATGTGGAACACAGACCCTCCTTAAACTGGAAGTATGAAAATGGAGAGCACCAAAACCCAGATATGGTACAAGTCTTTTGACAATACAAGTATGACCTTAAATCTAAAGAGGAAATATCTTATTTTGTAGGATAGAAAACAAACCCAGAATTAGCGTGGAAGAGAATTCAAGTCATTTACTTCCTTAGTGTGAAATATTAACCATTAGACCATTTTTCTAATATTTACCATCTTGGTGTAAGATTACGGAATATCTTCAGCCCAAAGAGAGGTCCATGAAGGTCTCCTGCTCCAAACTCCAGCTGTTCAAATGCACAATGCCAGAGCGTTAGAAGAAAACAACCTTTACAGCAGTGACAAAATATGTCACAAGTGTCATTTTTATCACAGACGTTTTACACATCTGAGTAACATTTACCACCTCTTTCAGCACTCTCCCTTTCCTGCAGCTTTGCATTCAGAAGAAAAGGTGTCTTGCTGAGTCAGGGTTTATGGATAAAACAAAGCCAGTTTCATAAAGCTACAGGTGACTGCTACTGGCACCTGCTCTGGTCACTCCAGGGAACATGGAAAAAACACCTCCCTCACAAAATCTTGATGCAAATCAAAAGCCTCCAGTCTATGAATTCTCAAACAACAGGAAAACTCCCACTCCCCCAAGCTAAGGAAACAGGCTAGCAGGAGCCACTGTGCAAGAAGGAAGGCACAGGCACTGGTATAGCAGCCACCTGCCAGCTATACCAGTGATACCACAAGCATGTCAAACAAAGCCCAGCTTGCACATGGCAACACGGGACCTTCCAGCTGCTCAGTCCATATCTGCTGGGGACTCAAACTATTTCCCCCACAACTCCTTCCCTTGAGAGAAAAGCAGTTTTGGAAGCAAAGGCAAACTATCACGCTGCCTAAGGTGCCTGCTCACAGCACTGGAAGGTACCTCAGAGCCTTCAGACAGAGAAATTAGAAAGGTTGGAGACATCAGGTAACAATTCTGTCTGCACAAGTGAAGTCCAAATTGCATGGCCAAATGGAGAGGGGAAAAAAATAAGAAAACCCAAGGTTTGGCCTTTTTCTCAAATTCCTTTAAGAATTCCTTTTTCTACACTCTACAGAATGTAGCAAATGAGAGATGAACCACAGCCAAAGTTCCCCCCCCCAAATAAACACTGGGTAACAGACTGAATATAAAACTGCACAACAGGTGTACTCTTACCTCTCCCCATCCCTTGGCAGATGTCACTCGTCTCAGAGCAAGGTTAATTGATCCCCCTCCATTCCCATTCTGGGTGGAAAGGTTACCAGACAGTATTGCTGTGTCCGTGGCAGTCAGGGGTGCCTGAAAAATGAATATATTGTGAGCAGTAACTCTGGTCCAGTTCACACAATTAGTGCATGTTCTACAGGGACATAATCACAACTGCAGAGTGTATGTGGTTTTGTAGTCAAATACCAAGTATGGCAAAAAGTGAGATAATTCTTACAGTACCAGACACTTGTGACACCTGTAATGTACCTCTTGAAGTCCTGACCCTGAGCTGCAAACTTAGTTGCAGACTAAATTTCTACAACTCTCTGGGGAGAGGAAACAATTCCCATTCTCTTCCTTACCCACATCCTCAAAAATGGGTGCCATTCGTCTTCATCCACTGAACATACCATATTCAGTCAGAACTGGATACTGAGCATCCCCAGTGGCAGGAGGGCAGGACCACTGCAGCCCACAAACGAGTCTCCTGAAAGCTGCAGGGCAAACCCACCATCCTGCTGGCCCTGAGCTGCCCTTCCCCACCTGCACTGGCCACTGTGTCCCCCCCAGATCCCGGTGAGAACCCCCGAGCAGTGTGTTCTGTGCCTCATTTGCTCAGGCCCTGCTCACACGTCCGTGTCCACCCTCCTCACCTCGATGGACTGGGATATGTGCATTTTGTTTATCTCAATCTGGGGAAAGCTGCTCCCAGGCACATCTTCGTATTCCTCGTCATAACGATCAAAGAGGTCGGTGGCGTCTATTCCCACACTAATTGTTCCCTGAGGGATGACAAGTGAAACAAGCACTCAGCATTAGCAAACATCCAACACACACAGGACAAGTGGCTAAAGCATTCCTGTATATGACCACATTTTTGTGCAGTTTTCCCTTTTTCTGCAATTACCTTTTCCACTCTAAAATTAATTTCCTAATACGCAAGACAAACAAATGTCAGTGATTACAATATTCCAGAACAGCAATATAAATCATCAGACTGGAGAAAGGGCAGCTTTTCAGCGTGAACTCAACTTGCAATCCTGAGGTCATTTTTCTATTGTGACATATTATAGAAGCAGGTAGAACACCTTTACAGAGCAGGTTTCTTCTTCCCCCACAACTGAATCTGCTATGTCAGTATTTGAAAGTTAAGATAATATATTTCAGACATTGATTTTCTTCAATGGAACTTAGCCAGAAAGCCTCTATGTGCTTCTTCTTATGAGTTATCTAAACTAATTTACTTCTAACCTGCATCATTCACTTGCAATTGACCCCATTAGTCAAAATTTTTGTTTTCTTTTTCTAGTTTATATCTTATCATCAGAAGAAAAACTTGACAAAGACAAACTTTTAGTAAATGGTAAATATTTTCTTTCTCATAGAAAAACTTACTCCTGCAAAAAACTAGGCCACAGCTCCATAATCTGGCTACCTGCTGCTGTGCTCCCTCAGACTAACTACAGGAGTGGGTTTCTTTGAAAAGAGCATGATTAGATCCTTGTCTGGGTCATATAACTTCAAGAGGCTTTGGAAACCTTCCCTATGGACCCATTCAGCAGCATCCCAGCTCCTATAAAATGTACCAAGTGCAATAAAAAACCCCTCTCTACACAAGCACAGACTAAACTCTGAGCAGTTTGTATATGGAAACTCAAAAGCTGGGTGGGTACAAAACCCACGCACACCGTGGTGTGCCTGGCCAAGGCCAAGCATGGATGGAATAAATCCTTATTTCAGTCTGAGGGAGCATTTTTCCTTGCTCACTCCACTCTAATCACATACTGAACCATAAATAAAGGAAGAATTGCAGAGTCTGACAGGACTCAAATCCTCTCTCTGTCTTGGCTTCCAGCTATTTGCCGTGGAGATTCCCGACCTCTTCTCAGTGTTTATTTTCTGATTTCTGACGCACCAAAAATTGGATAAATATTTTAACATTGAAAAGTACCATCATTTTCAGGAGAACCCTGGAACTGGGTTCTAACCCAGCTGCTTGGCAGCTGGAGAATTTCAGAGCAATTGCACTCACTGTTCTGTGAGGCAGCACCAGTGGCCAGCTCCTGCCCCTTCTGCACTTTCAGGAATCATCTTCAAAGTCACCTTCAAGGGACTCCAGACCCTACAGCTCCTCCAGTTTCAGCCCTCTCTTGCGCTGTGCTGTTCCTTGAAAGGAGGTCAAAAGAAGAGGGAAGCAAGGGAAAACCACTAATGGCCCTGGAAGGGCAGAGCCTTGTGCTAGCAAACACCCATTGGAGACCACCTTGCTGTACTTGGTGCCATGATGTTGCATGGATCCACATGCATTCCTGGGATTCATTGCACCTCATTTCTCTAAAACATACTCAAAATCTTAGGATTTCCTTTTTCACACCTGCAAATTGTACAGTAAATATCCCTCCCAAGGAAAAAAGTAAAACACCTGAACCTAACCATGAAAATCCACAGGACCCGTTCAGAGGAAAGGAGCCTCTCCCTGTTCCCCCTCTGGCTCCCCAGCTGACCTCCTACTCCCCTGCCTTTCCCTGAGGTGAACGGTGGACCCTGGGCAGACCCTCCACCTCCCACTAAGCAGGTGAAGTCACCCCAGAGGTCTGTGGATTCTGGCAAGGAAACTGGTTCAGGTGCAAGCACAGGAAAAGCAGCAGATGGTAAAGTTAAAAATATTCCCAGAGAATGAGAGCACCCCTATGCCACCGGATAATAGAGGGGACTGCTGCTGCTCCCAGCTCCCATCAGCCACCTGCTCTGACCATGGGAAATGAGGAGCTCTCCCCGAAGGAAGAGTGGCAGGAGGGAGCTGTAAGGCCTGCTCAGAAGCCAGCGCTGCACAGCGCAGCAGCTCCCGGGGCAGGGAGTGGGAGCGGCTCTACGGAACCATCGGAGCTGGGATCAGCTTTTACAATCACCTTCATCTGCCACCCTGTGAACAGGAAACAGACTCGTGGAATTCACAGGTGTGCCAGAGGAGAATATAGTCCCTCCTTTTTCCTTATGAATTTACCTTCAGGAAGGTGACACCTGGAAGCTGTGCCAGGCTATGCCTTGAGGGGTCTGCATTCCTTAGATGTTGACCTTCCACAGCAGGAAAATAAGGGGATTTAATTTCTCCTAACATGAAATGGTTCTTCTCAAACCAAGCATTGAACTTTTCAACCCTTCTGCATGTCTTTGAAAGCAAAAACAAAGCTCTAAAAGCAAATAGGAGACTCAATTCCAACCCTCCAAATTGCCTACATCTGGTTATTGCTCAACATTTCTGGTTAAAACGCTTTATTTTTGTGGAACTGTTTTGTAGAACTGACAAAATGTTGGAAATTTTAAAATAACTTGCGCTCGTGTACGAAATGATCACAGCTGCGCTCCCCAATTCCACGGGAACACTGCCTGGAGAGACATTTCCATCGGCTGCCAACCAGCAATTGCTGTAAACACCCAGATGGCTAATTTTATCCCAGGACACAGGCCGAGGCTCACAGCACAGCTCACAGCCACGGCGAGCGCCCAGGGAAAATGTCACATTCCTGAAGCACGGGGCAGCATCAGTGGAGATAACCATGCCCCTCTCTGAGAACATCTCTCTGACCCCGCTCACCCGCACCTCCAGCAGGGACAGCTTGCCTTGACTGGTCTGTGGCACCCAGAACCTCCTTCCTGTGAGAATAATGCTGTCAACAGATACTCACACAACATCTTATGCTTGTTTAACCTTCCAGTGAAAACCAGTTCTTAGTGTCTGTGCGCTACCCACAGCCTGGGGATCTGTACAGTCCACTGGTTTTGCTAAGAGCAGCGCAGATCCAAAGGCGGTGACAAGGTGAATGTCTCAAAATATTACAGGTCTCCTTAGATGGGTGTTTTCCTGAACCAGTCCTAAGCACTCCTGCACTCCCACATCTGTCCACTCAGAAAACTGTGATTTTACACTGAAGTGTAAAATTCGGGGAGTGTAGATGCAGCTCTTGGATAATGTTAGTCACTGCATGAGAACCAAGATTTTTGTGATTCAGTAAGCTTTGAAACCTCAGTCAGGGACAAACCTCGGGTTTGCCTCACACACTCATCAAGCCAAGAGCCAGCAAAGCCACTGGCAGTCTGTGCCATGGAGTACTCCAGTCTATCGCCACGTCCACCTCTGCCTGCCATCCCAACAGTGCTCCTGAGCACCTCTGACCAGCCAAGGTTAGCTGTGAGGTGGGTCACTCGGGGTCAGAGTCAGCTGCTCAAACAGGGAGCGGCACCCAGGACAATTCTCATCCTGAGTGTGCCATCAAGCTTTATGAAAACAGGCACTAACTGTGACACTGGCAGGACCCCAACCCTGTTCAGGCTGACTTTGCTCACTGTGCTGCTGCCCAGCTGCTCAGGACTGCCTTGCATTTGTCACTGGTTTCAAGGCTGCATTGGAATAGCTCCCTGCATTCTTGTGACACTGCAACAGTGTCAAAAGGAAAAGCTATCAGGTAACTGCAGGGAGATAAAGTTTATTTAGAAAATCTAGAAAGAAATCATAAATATTTCAGTCTCAGGTCTGTTTTCTTGAGATTGCTGAAAAAGGTATTTTGCCCTAATAGGTTTCAATGAGAAAAGAAAGTAGAGGCTTGTTCAAAGAATGAGCTGTTCTCCCCACACTGTCTAGAGAAACTGTATATGCAAAAGAGAGAAAGTCACGCAGTTAGTGTACATGCCTGAGGGGCTCTTTCATACAGGTCCTCACCTAGGCTCAGCACACCCTGCACAGTGGTGATAATTTACGGATCCACTCTTGTAACCAGGGTTAAGTCTTTGCTTACCTTTGGATTAGTTCGCTGCTGCAGTCTCCTCTCTTCCCTCTCTCTCTGCAAACGCTCAAATTCTTCCCTGATTTCAGCTGCAGTTCTCTTTCGTTCCACAACCTGCTCAAAAAGAAATGAGAACCAAAGGATCACCAGACTGAGGCTGTTCAGGGCATTGCAGTGCTGGGGGGATGGAGGCCCACGAACCTGGGACGCACTAACATGCTGCCCCAGCTGCTGAAAGCCGCTCTGCACCAACTTCAATAGTCAGAGTTTGGAAGGAAGCACCTGGGCCAAATCAAATGGTAGGCATGAGAGAAAACTCCATGCTTTGAGAGAAGGGAATATGGTCTTGTTATTTCCATTCCCTTGACAAAACTAGGGCAAAGAGCTTTCCTACCACAAGCACTAGACACTGCAGTGCTGTTATCCTCAGCGATCCATTAACTGCTCTACCAGGTGTGGACACAAAAATGAAAGCAACTGAAAGGCTCTGGCCTGAAGTGAACTGATTCAGTGAGAGTTCTGTGATTTTAGGCTATGCTGTTTCACAGCTGCTTACCTGACATGGCTCAGGGAATGAGGATTTTAGGGTTTTGGTATGGATAGAAAGAGTATTGGATTTGGATTTTCAGAATTAGACCAAGTCTGCGAAAAGCAGTTCAGAAATGTCTGTTACACGCTGCCACTGCACCACATTTCTGGCAACTCATTCCAAACTTGACCTCGGTGCTGACCTGACCCAATACCATATGATTCTGCTGCAAGCAGCATAGTGCAATCAACTAGGGCTGGCAGAGGCCAGCAAGGGACTCAATGGCAGGACAGCCACGAACGAACAAGTTCTCTTCCAAAGCCCATAAAACCCAACCAAAACCAAACCAAACCAAAACCACCAAAAAAACCCCCAACCAATCCCAAAAAGCCCAGGAAGAAAAAGTAATTTCAAACTCAGAAGCTAGTTGAGAAGATGTTTTGGATGAAAAAAACAAGTTTTGGATGAAAAAGATGGGACTAGATGGACAATGATGACACATTCATCTCAGACAAAGATGTTGCCTGTCACAGTAATATCCTGACAGGGAACCCTGAATGTCAGGTTTATGGTTCTCTTTTTAAGTGCAAAACCCAAGTGTTCTTCGAAAATCCATCACGGTGTTTCAATAGGGACAGAGAGAGACAGAAATAACTAACCAAGGATGCCTTCAGACCAACAGGCATTTAATACCAGCCAGGTGTCAGTGCAGCCGATAGAACAACAATGGCAGATAAAGGTGGGTTTAGTCAAGGCCACTGGCCATAAGGTGCTCAATTTCTCTCACCTCCCAGCCTTCCATCTCCAGTCCTCTCCTCCCATATATGTCATAGATGGCTCTGGTCTGTGGATCACTAAGCACTGCAAATTAAAACCAAAAGAGAGGAGAGAACTCAGTTTTCAGTCTTCTCCTCAGATTTCAGACCAAGACACTTGCATTATTTGGAATTCAAGCACAGCTCCTGGAAATGTCTTGTTCTACAGTAGTACATTAACCCCTTTGATGCTTCCATGTGCTATATTGACAGGACACACTGACTTTTTCCCCCCAAAAACTCAATTTTTTTTCATTTTTCTTATTTCTAAAACAAAAAACTGGAAAGAACACAAGAGACATGCAGCCTAAGTGAATGTGCAGTGCAGTTTCTAACACTGCTTTCTTTGACTGAAGCATGACATGAGCCCTCTAACAACCATGGGGATTATGAGCAATTTAGCCAGAGCAGTCCCAGGGCCCTTCCTGAGCAGGAATACCACCCACCTCTGTCTGGCTTTCAAAGCTCTGTGGTGCTTCCCCGATCTTCCCTGTCCACTGATCCTTTCCCTCCCAGTCCAAATGTGTGGGACATACCAAGTGCCAATGAAGCAACTTCCACAAGGCAGTTCATGCCTTGCCAAACATAAACTACAAGGCAATGGCAAAGGTACGTGTAAAATCTGAACCTCCCAAAACGTCACCCAGCTCAATGGAGAACACAAAATGCACCAGGAGACTGCAGAACAGTTACTTTGGAAAAAGATTGTGTACAGAATTAGGAAGAATCTTTAAAAGGTAAGGCACATTTAAATGCATAATCTCCTATACCACACCCTTCTGTAAAAAAAATAAAAGATCATCAGTATTTTCCCCCCAGGGTTCCAAGATCAGCTTTATCATGATCACGTATTTCTTTTGACTGTGGGGGAACTCAGGGAGCTGGGGCACTTACACCGGTAACTGAGCTTTGGTCTGAACTACTGGAAGATTATTGGACTTGCTAAATGTCACAGGCAGATACTGCTTTTTATGAATTCTGGTAAAATGAATCTTTTGTTGTGTGATATTAAGAGATGGAAGAGGAGGGAGAGAAAATAGGCAGGAGGTGAAGTGGTTTATTTCTAAGACGTCAAAAACTTGGCTTGCAAAATTGATACTACACTCACATTTGGTATGAAACAAGCACCCATTTCCTTTCCATGTTCATTGCAAGGCACAGCCAAGCAGAGCCACAAAATTCAAAGGGAAGCTGCGGACTCTAATATAAGGCCACCCACCACACTACAATGAAATTATTGAAGCATCACCTGTTTTTGTTCCCCACATCATCAAGGTCAGACCTTCCCTGCTCTCCTAGTGAAAGCTTCCACATGTCCTAAAGCCTAACTAGGGACAATGGGAAAGACTCCACCTGTGCTCAAGTCCAGCTAGAAGGAGCAAATCAGTCAAAACCAGGAGAGTAAAAAAAAAAAAAAAAGCTCATATTTGAGGTCAAATGGAGGAATGTTTGTTCATCCTTTTGCCTTAGTTTCTCTTTAGGCTCCAGGACTGGGCACCCAGATGGGTGCACTTGATTTATAACATGGATGGCTCCTACCAGCTTCCAATCTATCTGCACTCCAGGTGCAACTTGCACACCAGGATGTAAGTAAATTTCAGCTTAATTCAGACTATTTTAAAAGGCCTTTGGCATGAGAGAAAAATTCTGCTATGAATCAGTTGTCTCTATCTCAGTCTGAGCATATGGAAGAACTTGCTGGAAAACAATGGAGACTGCAGTCAGGTGACATGGAACAGAACCTTGGGATGCAGCAGTTCATCAGTACAATATGAAACTGTCTTTCTGTTTGAAGCTTTTCAGTCTTCATTCTCCTCTGGAAGAGGCATTCAGAAGTAAGAGAAGCGATGAGAAGATCATTTACAACACGCAGCAAGTAAGACAGAGACTCCACATCCTGCAGTACTTCTACGACATTTCTCCTCTGACTTACGGGACGGAAGCAGGAAACAGCATCGCTAAGTATCAGCAAACTTAATTATTACTTTGTAATAATAAATAGCTTCAAAAAGCACGAAGACACAGCTCTCCTAGAAACCCCATGAAAACAGTTTCTGCAAAGCTCCCCCTGACCTTCATACGCTTGGTGGACAAGGTTGAAGAGCCGCTCGGCCTGTGTTTTGAGCTCGGGGTCGCGGTGCTTGTCGGGGTGGTACAGCATGCACAGCCGGCGGTACGCGGCCTTCAGCTCCTCCTGGGAGGCCTGTGAAAAGCACCAAAAATGAACTCAGGTACAACCAATGCCATTTCCACAAGGCCACTCCCAAGATCAGCCCTGAAAGGGAAGTCCATCAGCTGTTACGTGACACTAGTTTGGCCGAATCAGGAATGGACTATTGTTTCATTATATAAGTTAATAAAATGTTCAATTATCACACCAGGATCATCCACACTATCTGTAGCAGAACAAGTGACCTCGACAACAAATTCTACTCATATTTCAATCTTAATCCCCAAGGAGACACTTTACCTACCCAAAAGCAGCGACTTTCCACATGTAAATCCACAGTTTTACACTCATCCCAGCATGCCACAGTCCCCAGCACCCTGTTGTGCTCCCCAGCATCCCCCTGTGCTCCCCAACACCCCGTTCTGCTCCCCAGCAGGGTCTGTGTTGTGCTGCAAGGGAGAAAGGTGCCTCACCTGCCCACAAAGCCACAGACAAATAACCATGAGAACACTGTGTCACCAAATGCATCAAGAATGAACCTGCCCTGTCCTTTACCACAATCACTCTGGGACCTCAGATAGCACCTGGCCTCATTCCAAGGACATGGATGGCTCTTTCAGAAACAATGGAGTAACCCCCCCACTTCCTTCATTATCATCTCTCAGAAGACAACCTCCCAGGGATGCTATTTTCGCACTCCAGCGAGTCCTGGTAACCTCTCCTCTCTCACCTCATGCTGCTACAACCCCTGCACTGCAGCCCCTGTCCATTCCTTGGAGATTGCTTAATGCCTACTTTTTAAAAGTGCAGTTGCCAAAATCAACCACAACTTCCCCCCAGCAGAGCTTCACAGAGCTACCAATCGTCCAGTTCCCAAAATGCCCAGGTATGAACCAGTTCCTGGGCACAGGGGGCATTCCTGGAGGAACATGCAGAGGAAAATAATCAAAACCTGACAGTCCTGGCTGTCCCCAGGGGCTGCCACAACCAGGACTCAGGACAGCCAGTGAGGGGGGGCACCCAGAGAGGAACATCAACAATGGGATTTACAGACACAAATTCCATTTACTCTTAACGGTCTTCAGGGAACAAAGATGGCACAGTTTCCAAGCTTTCACTGGGGAAATAAAGGCCTTAAAAGGTCATTTCTTAAAGTAACATCTTTTTTCCCCCCACTTGTGGCAAGGAGGGTTTTCATCACAGAAATGCCACTCACCGGCGTATCAACACCAGGAATCCACCTGGATTTGAGGACAACTCAGAATAAATCTTTTCTCTGTATGTTTGTACTATTTCACATTAATGTTTTGAAATTATATAGCTAAAGGGTAGCTGCCAAATTTGCTGGTCCCAAGACAGTAGATTAGCTTTTTTCTTTTTACTACTGTGTGCTTTCTCGGATATCAAATTTAAACTTGACTGGGAAGGGAGGGGAACATATAGGCCCAAAATGGCATTTTAAAATCAAATTAATGATAAATGGTTTAATGTGCTATTGATTACATCACAGAAATGAGCAGGTTCATTTTTCATAAATGCCATGTTCAATAAAATGTTAGATTGGGCATTTCATCATCACTGATGCTCAGATCATTGGTTCAATATTCCATGAGCAACAGCCTCTTTGAAACTGCTAAAGAAACCCTGACAACATTTCAGATTGCCAGGAAATACCTAAGTCACTAATAATTGTATGTTAGTTACATTTTTATTACCGAGACTCTGGGCAAAATTAAAAGGCCTCCCATCTCCCTATTTGGGGTTTAAACAGCCTAATTTGATGTCTCAAACACAGTATAACGTTTTTAGCAGAGTAACATCTCTAAATGATGAACTATTCACCCCCCCCCACCATCTCCACTTGCAGGCTCCCATCCCTCTGTGGGATCCCAGCTCAGCCGCCACATCACCCTGTGGCTCAGCACACAGACATGCTGTTCACTGCATTCCACTACAGGGCAGTACTGCCGACGTTAATTAGCAAGGGGCAATTAAAAAAGCACCCACTCCTCTCTGTTGGAATTATTCCCTTGCATACCCCTTTAACTGAGCTGCAGCTCCCTGCTGTACCAAACCGAGTGCCTTGCTCTGGAAGCCTGCCTAAGTTAAGTATTAAACCCTCCCCCAGCAGTCGCAACCCTTGTTCGGTTCCCACCTCTGTTTTAACCTCTGCACGAGGCTGTTTGGAAGGGGGAATTACGAAAGCTCCCAAGGGAGGTACAAGCATGGCCCCACCGGCTTTGAACCAGACCAGTGATCTCAAGTTGCACAGAAACTTTTCTAAAAGGAGCCCAGCATCAGGGAGTTCTGCAAACAGCTCAACCCTCACACACTCTTCCTTCAGCAATGTGGCAGATTCCCACAGATGAGGCACAGGAGACTGTCCCTGCAGCCCAGGGACTGACAGCAGTCCCAAAGGGAATTCTTCGAAGCTATCAGGCTGAATCATTTCCAGGTCTGGACCTCCTACTGCACACAGTAACGGTGGTGCAGTATGAGCTTTGTCCGACTCCAATGGCAACATCCAGGACAATGGGCACGAAAAGTGAGGTCTGTTTACACATACACACACACACAGACAATACATTGCTGTTGCATTTGCTGAAACAAACTACGGCATAGCTCCTATATTCAGATACTTGGAGATCTGCCTAATTGTTACTATAAAAAATAGTTGCCTCCCATAAAGTTCAGAACTGATTCAAAATCGCACCAAATAATAGCCATCTATTCTTAAAAGTGAAATCAAGGACTCTCGATCCTTCTTTTATGGGGGGAGAGGTGTTTCGCAAAAATTTCGGTGTTTCCGAATCGGAAACCTTCGGGAAGTGCCCCCGGCCCCGCCCGAGCCCGGCGGGAGCGCGGCGAGGGGGCGGGTGTGCCCCGCGCGCGGAGCTGCTCGGGAGCGCCCAGAGCGCCGCGATTCGGAACGAAACGCTCATTTCTCGGCCTCGGCCGCCGTTCGCCCGCCGCACACAACCGGGAGCCCCGTGGCCCGACCCGAGCTCTGCCGTCCCGCCGCCAGCAGCGGCCTGGGCTGAGGGCGCGCCTCAGGGGCACCGCTCCCGCCGCGGTGGGCAGGGGGTCTCAGCCCGCTCAGCCCGCCCAGCCCCGGCCCCGGCCCCGGCCCCGGCCCCGGCCCCGCGGCCGCACCTCGCGGCGCACGTTGAGCAGCCCATAGTAGTCCTGGTTGTCCGGCGCCTCCTCGCCCAAGGCCGCCGCCATCGTCCCGACCTCTCACCCCGCGCTGCCGCTGCAGCGCCCCCCCGCGGCCCGGCGGCCCCAGCGCACGCGCACGCCTGCGGGCACCGCCCCCCCGGCGCTCGCGCGGCCCAGGCGTGTGCGCGTGCGCAGCGCGGGAGCCGGGAGGCGGCGGAGGCGGAGGAGAAGCGGCGGCGAGGGGTGAGTGAGGGAGGGAGCGGGAGAGAGAGAGACTGAGGGAGAGCGCGGACTGGGCCGTACCGGGGCACCGGCCGCTCCACCGCGCTCCGCTCCGGCCGCATTCCCCGTCCCGGCGCCCTGGCGCGTCCTTCCCGCCGAGGTCTCTCCGCGGCCGAGCGGCGGCTGTGGCGGAGCCGCCACACGGAGGCTTGGCCTCCGTCCGCCCCGCTCCCGGGCAAGACGCCCTGCGCCAGGTGCGGTGCGTGCCCGGTGCCGCAGGGCCCTCGGGACCTGCCCAAAGGGCCGTCGCCCACCCTGGTCATTGACGGGACCTGAAGGCGGGACGGTGTCCCGAGGCCTCTTGCCGCCGTAGCAAGAAGGCGGTTTCCAAACCCTGCTGTGACCACCGAGCCGCTGTTCCGTGGCCGACTCCCGGCTCCGGCGGGGCTGGCGGAGGGCAGAGGGAAGCCCGGCAGCCGGTCCGGCGCAGGGTCGCGGGGCAGGTCTGAGCTCAGCGGTGTCGGACCCGCAGGCGCAGCACGGCCGGGGGGGACACACCGAGGGCAGAACGTGTGCTCGTTTGTCACCAGTAGATCTGGAGCAGTTTTCCTTGGATCTATAGAGCTGCTTTGGCTTTTGGAGTAGAGAAGAAGGGCCTGGAGTTCACGCTGTGCTGCCCTCCCTGATGGTGGGTTAACCCAGCTCTGAGTTCCGAAATTGAAGGAAATGCCTCCAAAATGTGCAGAGCACAGAGCTTTTAGCAGAAGGGCTGCCCAGTTGGTGTGTTAACCTGAGTGCTGGCAGACAGACTGGGTGCTTGTTGGCATCAATGCTGTGATAAGGCTGTCAGGAAGACAAATGCAGCCTTTCCTGGTCGTGAGTGGTTGTTCCCCAGTGGCTGGGTTTGATATTTGGGGGGGGTGCTGGAATGGTTTTCAGGTACTGCTGTCTGTAAGACCTCTCATTAACACCAGTGCAGCCCAGCATGGAGCTGGAACTGTGCGTTCCCATTCTGAAGTTCAGCTTGTCTGCTTTGGATTTTGGATCTTCACGTAACTTATTTGAAAACAAGAATGTTTTAATATTTAATAAGGTTTTTTTTCTGATCCCAGGGTAGTTAACAGGGAAGTATTGATTGTTTTATAGCAGCTCCTCTGCACTCCTGGTAAGTGAGGCACAGTGCTTGGAACAAGAGGTGCACAAAGGATCCTTGTCTGAGAAACCATGTGGAAATGGGTCTGTTCTGCAGGGGAGCATGTCTAGCACCACTTTTCCTCAATGAACCCACCTGCTAGATGGATTTTGTTTCCACGTGGTTTAGGAGTCATTGAGTCTGTGCAACAATGCAAAGGAGACTCGAGTTCTGAGGATGTCAGTTGCCATAGCAACACTATTTCCCATGGATTTTGGTCCTGTCATAATTGTGCTCTTTTTCTAATGTGATTTGGGAGCTGCGTGGTCCTTGGGGGTGTTAGTGCCAGAGTTACTGAGGAATCCTTCCCCTTACCAGATTGATCTAATACTTTCCTAAAAGACCCAGCTGCTCGTTGCTGGCGCTGGTTGCTGTTCCCTTGCATCACAGATGATTCAGGGGAAATTTTGGGAATGTTCCACAGGTGTCACATCTTGGCAGGGAAATACGGGAGGAGAGAAATACGACTTCAGGGAGCTAAATATGAACTGTGCTTTCTAAGCATATAGAGAGAGCTCTTTAAAACTCTGCGTTATAACAGAGGAAATGTAACATCTATGGCAAAAAGCAATTTGAGGGGGGGAAAAAAAGGAAGAAAAAAGAAAAGTAGTTGTTTGTGCTTTACTGAGCTGCTGAGGTTTGGCCCGGGGTGCAGCCTCCTCTTGCCCACGTCACTACTCACAGGTTCCCCACACTGCATGTGGGAGTGCTGTGGTGCTGGGTGGGACACGGTCCCTGCAGGAAGGGAAGCAGCCCCCAGGACTCAGACCTGGGTTTAGCTGGCCGTGTGCTGTCAGAGCCGTGACACCACAGCTGCTGCTCCCGTGTGTGCAGCGTGCTCCTCTAGCAAGCCGTGAGTAGCCTTACCTGTGGTGACTCACCCCTGCTGCGGTGGAGCCAGAGGTACCAGAGACCTCCATCACCAGGATCTCCTCTGTGGGGGGCTGATGGAGCCGCCCTGCCCGGCCCCAGCAGGGGCAGGACACTGAGGGGCCCAGCGTAGCAGATTCTCCCCAGTGACTGGGATCACAGAGTCACTGCTGGGAACCTGCCCCCGCACAGAGTGGTTTTGCTAATATTAACTTTAGTTCCATTGCAGCTCAATGGAGGGAAAAACTAGAAAGTGCCATAAATTCAGCCGAGCTTGTCAAAGCTGTCAAATTACCCCCTGACAAAGCTCCTGCCTCTAATGACTACAGCATCAGCCGGAGGGGATGTCTGTGATGGGGCGACAGCGCCAGGGCCCAGCACTGTTACACTTGTGATGTGCTGTCATCGGGGCCTCCAGGGCGCCAGTCAAGGGTGACGCTCTGACCAGAGTTAATACTTAAAAACAAAATAATTAAAAAATTCCAAGGATGTAGAGTAGCATCCTGCCCTCTGTTCTCAGCCAGAGTAATGCTGACTTCTAGTAAAGGTCTAAATTCTGCTAAATTCTAGTAAAGGTCTTCCTTGGTCCCATTTCTTAGCATTGGAAGTCCAGGGAGATAATGTCTTTGCACGTATAAAAGGTGGTATTGATTTCCTGTTACTGTTGTCCTGAAATGTGTGCAGGGTGTCTGTGTAGCAGTGACAATCCTCCATCACTAGCTTTATGGGAAAAGAATGGTTATTGAATCTCTTCCCATAAAATATAATCTCTTTCTTCCTTCCAGAATTTGCCCACTCCTGGGGGAGTCCCTCATGTTATGTCTTTGAGGAAATTGATTTTTTTTGTCTCCACTTTGTACACTTGTGTTTAGTTTTATTTTTAATTTGGCTCATGTGATGTGAAGCGAAGGCTTCCCTAACATTAAGCATGCTTTCTCAGTCTTGTACCGCTTCTCTTTCATGTAGATTAACACTTTCAGAATGTTTTAAAGTAAAATAAAGATATTTGCTTGGCACAAGTCTCTCTTGTTGTTGCTAGGAATTTTTTTACTCTGGGCAAGTTGTTGTCCTGCTCTTTCTTTCCAGGCAGGGCTGAAGCACTGACAGCTTTGCAGCTGCTCACAGATAAATTCTGGGTAAGTTTCTGGAGTCAAACACATGCTGATTTATCATGGCTGAATGACACCATGGTGGAGAACACAACTTGCAGTGCTGTCTGCTCAAGGAGCAGTGTGGTCTTTCAACTTGAACAGTGGCAAAAATACTCTGTCAAATATGTCCTTTCCTCTGTGTAGCAAATGACTGACTATGGGATTTTTCCTTTCAGGGAGGAAACGGCAACATGAATTCATAGATGATGAGTAGGATGCCAAAGCCAGAGATGACAGTGCTCTTGAAGAAATGCTGGGTAGAACAAAAAGGTAAAAGGAACAGCTAATTGAGTGCATTTCAGAGCCTGTGGGACTTCGTGGGGTACCTTTCCTCATGAGGCAAATGGCACACCCCCTCGAACCAGAGCTCAGTGTTCTGAATTCCCTCCTCCTCTGTTTTGCATGAAGTCCCAGTGCTGCCTCTCACTCCTGACCTGCTCTCTCTGTGCTCGGGCTTTCCCCAAAGCTGTGTTGCTCTGTACCTAAAGCCCGTGAGACTCATCCTTTCCACCCTGTCCTTGCATGCACAGGGGCTGCAGCTCTCCCTGCCCCGCCAGCCCAGCAGTCACACCAGGTCTCTGCTGCCGTGGTTGTGCTGAGGGCAAAACCAGAAAAGAGCTGCACTGGGTGGGTCCCTTTGCAGCCAGTGCCGTGCTCCGGAGCGTCGGTCACTGGTCAGTCATGGCACGTTCTGGCTGTGGACGTGCCCTGGGCAGGCACACACGGCTGCAGTTGGGATGCTCTGCAAACAGGTGCCTCTGCCAGGGATGAATCGCTCTGCTACTCTGCTGTCTTTTACTGTGTTTGGTGTTAATGCTGTGGAGATGCCCAGAGGAATCACTTCTTATTGGCTCTTTAATTCTGAGAAATTATCTCTGTAAGGGAGGCATGATAGTCCACCTGAGGACTTGGGGAGGTGAGAGGCAGATTTAATCACACCTGCAGAGTGCTGCACACTGGAAAGGCCTCATTGTGGTCATCCAGTGGCAGCAGAAGTGGCTGAAGCAACTGATGAGGAGCAAGAAAATCTTTAGTAGTAGTGTAGTCCTCCTTTGGATATTTTCATGCCTGTTTAGGGCAGACTGACTTCAATCCCCCAAAAGTCAAAAGCAAATGTTCTCCTTGAAAGTGTTCCAGGTTTGTAGTGGTGAACTGCGTGTTGCCCCTGCCTCTCAGCTCGCTCTGGCAGCAGGTGTGTGGGACACCAGGGTGTTTCTGGGGCAAAGCAGAAGATCTTGTCAATAGTGTGTAAAGGGTTGGTGTATATATAAATAACAGTTCTATTCTGCTGGAAGCTTTGTCTTTGAAACAGCAATCAGGGAGGAATTCATTGTAGTTTAGGTGTTGGTGCCATTTGGCAAACTGGAGGTCTGAGTGTCCTTGGAGCCTCCAGCCTGGTACAACAAGAGCCTGTCATGGGGCAGAGCTCTGCACCCTGCCCATGTTCAAAATATCCTCTAAATATACTCTGAAATACAGATTGGAGTTTTTTGAATGATCCTGACTTGAATAAGCTGTCCTACAGTTTAAATATATGGTGAGACAACTTTTAGTTTAATAACACCAGAGTTGAGTATTCAAGGATACTTTAAATCATAATTAACAAATTTCTGTTGTTGTCAATCCATATTTTGGGAGATCTGATAGTTTTGTCTGTCCCTTTTCTGCATATGTGTACGTTAAGGCTGTTGATGTATTTTTCAGCTATTTCTATAAACTTGGATGTAAATCTGTTACATTCTTTGAGTTTCAAAATTCTTCACCATCAATCTGGAGAGCTTTGAGTCCGTAAAACTGGGCTCTATAAAACTGGAGTCTGTGGTGGCAGGAGCCATGTCCCTGTGGCGGTGCCAGTTCCCCAGAGCCAGGACGTGTTCCCTGTTCCTCCTGCTCCCTCTTTGGGGCTCTGGAGCCCAGCCAGCACGGCGTGGTGGTGGCTGCAGCACCCATGAGTCCAGGTGAAATGTGGAACAGGGAGGTGATTTTCAGTATTTGCTGCAGTTTCGAGAGCTCGACAGACATGTTGTTTTACTGCTCACGCTGGTAAACGTTGGCTCAGGGCAGATGCCCAGTGCTGGTGCTTTAGGGTGGCCAGTGGCCACTAGCTGTGTTCAGCATTGCCGTTGCCAGCTCTGGCATCATGGCACGTGCTGTCCACTCAGCAGTGGCTGGGCAGCTCTGAAAGGACCAGATTTGGCATCAGCACTATCCCTTCTGCAGGCGTTGTGCTTCAGGTGCTGCCAAGTTCTCGCTGCTTCTGCTTCCTTGCAGCACGTGGTATTTGGTGTGACCCTGAGGACAGACAGTTGTCTGCTGGACTAGCTTGTGGTTTTTCCCTCAGCTGTGTCAGCATTCAGGTTTTCAGTTGTGGGGGGCACATCAGTGGCTGTTCCAAGGGTTCCAAGGTTTTCTAATTATTGTTTGTGGGGTTTTACTGGTTTTGGTTTGGGTTTTTCCCCCAAGAAATTGTGGATATTTTTAAGTAGTACATGTTAGTTCCTCAGATGAGCCAATTCACTGCAACCTTGGGAATTTTAATCCAGATATTCACTCTCAACAAACTTGCTATGATGACCATACAAGCGCTTTTGTTCTGAAAAACTTTCAGTATCGCTACTAAGAACATGAATTGGAATTTTGATTGTGAAAATTATTGGCAAAGTCTGGCCATGTGGAGCAGGTTTTACAGTGTGCATGATGGGCTGTTGATGGGGGTTAGCACAGATCCCGGGGAAGGTCCCAGGTTTCCTGTAAATATTCAGGTGAGGTTGTGCTGACTTACTGACTTACTTGTGCTGACTTGTTTCCCTGGCAGAGATGGCCCTTTGGATACTTGTTAAACAAACATTAAATACAGACTGATGCTGTCAAAAGGAGAATGCAGATCACTTAACACCAAAAGTGGCACTTCACAGGGACCTTTTGCAATTTGTAGCTCAATAAAAAGGGTAACCCCTGTAGGAATATCCTGTCCTTGCCTATTCCGTCCTTTTCTGCAGTGCCGACAGGATCACATTCCTGGTTTTACTTTCACGCTGTCCCAGGCTGAAATACTTCATATTTCACACTCTGGGTTCTATAAATAATTGATATGCCTGTCTTAGCAACTGAGGATCAGCAGCAAATTGTATTATTGTGGAGTAATAGGGATTTTCTGCAGTCTTTACTCCCTTTCATCTCTAATTTTTACTCTACCACTGAGAGTGTAGAAACTGATTTACTCCACTTTGGGAAAAAAAGTATTACTGTTCCAGTGTTACTGTTCCAGTCCTTCAGGGGAGAAAGTTCAGGGGAAAGTCAGAACTCACAAATGAACCCATCTCAGTGAAGACGAGTTATTTTTGTGTGTTTGCTGCAGCTACTGTTTGGAAATATTCCTCATTCTGTGCAACTCTCATGGGTCACATGGGAAAGAATAGTTTTAATGGTTAGACGAGGATTAGGCAGACCTAGAAAGAAACTCTGCTCTGTAGCTAAAACCAGTGAGAAAGTATTAAACCAATCATTTTTGCTGTAAGAACTGCTGTGTACCTTGCTGACAGAGCAGAAGGGGTTTGTGTGATAAGGCACCATCAGGTCTCCCCGGGAGAACTGGAGCAGCTGTCCTGCCACAGTGCCACTGGGAGCAAAGCATGAGTGACTCTAGTTTGTGACACTGGAATTACACTTCCATTTGGTTTACCTATTCATAAATAATGATGGGAGCAGTCAGGGAAGTTCCTTCTCATTATGAATTTATAGCATGGAGAGTCCAGTTGGGGTGGAGTCCTTTAAAGATTGGGATAATGCTTTCAGCAATGATGCTTTTTAATTGAAAGCTTAAGTGCTCTGTGTGTTAATGATGCTCCTGGAGGGAATCACAGGAGCATATGACTGGGGACTTGGTTTGGAAGGGCCAGGATGGGTTTCTGGGCAAAGGGCAGAGCCGGGGAGGTGCTGTCTGAGCAGACTGACTTGGGTAAATTTGACTTTGCCTCTGGCTTCCAGTTCTGGAATCTGCATGGCTTTGAGCACCTTCTGCCTTTGTTACCATCACCAATTCCTCTTCCTTTGGTTCTCCTGTTGTTCTTCTGCTGTTGTCTTCCCCTCCCCTCCCCTGATTCTTCTGTTCTCAGTGCCTGAAGCTGACAGTTTCATACCTTGGTGACTGGTTTGGCTCCCAGATCTGTATTTATTCAGTTAATGCAGACAACAGTTCAATTCCAGAGGAGTTAAGTATCTTGGAAAAGATACTTGTTTAAAAAAAGGAACACAAATTTCGGAGCATACCTTTAGGGATCTTAAACATCCTTTTCCATTATTATTTGCTCCAGCCGTGGCTTGGGATCCGATCCTGAACTCAGCCGAGGGTTGTGCTTTGTGGTGCCGGGCTCCCTGGCCAGTGCTGAGCTGGGAGCTGTGCAGCCCTGGGAGCAGAGCCAGTTGGCTGCCAACGCTGCACCAGGGCTTCCGGCTCTGGGGCTTCGCAGGATTTACACTTTCTCATTGGGGAATAGCTGGATTTCCTATACTAGCAGGGGAGGGGGTTGGACGTGGGCTAAAGCATCCACAGAGAGCAGCCAGGCTATACAGCTTGTTACAGGAGGATGACAGCTTAAAGAAAATTAAAAAAACAATCCTTCCATGACCCTCATTGAAGACTGCACTAAAATTCCAACTGAGGCGACCACGGATGACAATCATATTCCCTCCTTACATGGAATAACTTGATTGTCTTATTAGAATAGAAAGCAAAGACAAATGTCTGGATATAGGGTAGGAAATTGTCTTTACTAAATCTAGCTCAGCGCTTATGAGCACCGTATATATTATTTGATTTTGCCAGAATTACATAAACATGGGGGAAAATTGTTAATGTAAGTTGACTACCAGAATAAATCACAGCCTAATTATTCTTTTTTTTTTCTGGCTAAAATTAGAATTTGATATAGTGGTCAATAGACATTTTCTTTAATTTTTGAGACATAATTTCTAATAGCTAGTCCAAATGAATTGGAGAAAGTTGCTGCAGAATTGAAAAAATAAATTATCCAAATTTTATGGTGACTTACTGTTAAATCTCCTTAGTTGGAAACTTTAATTTACCTCATATTTCAGTTTTTTCTCCTCTAACTGGCTTATGGGTGTATATTAGGGCAAAATAATTGTTACTTTTTTAGTGCCACTGGAGTGCTGGGAGCAGGCACAAAAGTGAAGCCAGACCCCCGGCTCAGCAAAGGCTGAGGGGCTGCAAGGGCAGTGTGTGAGGCACAGCAGGGCAGCTGCTCCCTGGCACTGCTGCCTGCAGCAAAGGCTGACCCTTGGCACCTGTGTCAGTCCCTCTGGAGCTGTGTGATGCTGTCCTGGGATAACTGGGGCTCCAGCACTGCAACCCCCTGGGTGGCCACGTGTTTCCTGTCTGGAGCCAGTGCCCCTGTAGAAGAACAAAGCATTGTTGGCCCTGTTCTTCATTAAACAGGTAAACACTGTGTTTCATGTTGAGGCTACTGGCTTAAATATCCACAAATTCTTTATGGGGTTTAGCACAGCAACACATCTTTCCTTGGGGTGCATTAAAGGGGCCAAGGCTTTTGGACTGTGTTTCACTTTAGCCTGGCATGAATACCCTGTAGCCAGCAGAGTTTTACTACAGATGATTTGAGTGTAGTCCTATATTTCTGAGGGAAATAGATGGGCTCAGAACTGCAGAAGGAACAGCAAGAAGGATGGATCTAAACCCCAGAGTGTGGAAGGGGACCGAGCTCAGCTTCCTGCTAGGGGAGTATGTGCTTTCATCCATTCTGAGCGAGTCCAGTATCCTTAGGTCCTGGTAATGTATATTCTCTTCAATTTCCACACATCATGTTGGGCAAGTTACTTGGATGGCAGAGCCTTAGGCACAGTATACTTCCCTGGAGAACCTTTTGGAAGAAATGCATGTTTTGGGGTATTTACCTGGTTTTGCTGAACCTTGGAATTGGCAGTTGTACATCACAAATGCAGTGACATGTTGTGAGTAACAGCGAGTTCACACACATTGTCTTGGTTAAGTCTTGGGTTTATTCCTAGAAGAAACACCTTTGGATTCTGTCAGTGGAGAGAGGAAAGGGCAAAAGCATTTTATTTCTATCATGTGAGTTTTTTTTAAGCATCTCTCTTCACATTCATGAGAGTATTTTTGTGAAAACACTTGGCATTCCTTGCTTCTAAATCACAGAGTAACTTTTTTGAAACAATTCACAAGGAATGGGGTTCCAACACTGTCATTATGGCTATTAAACCTGTCTGAACTGTTTTCCTTTGTGCTGCTTGCCATAACAATGGCGACGTGTAATTTGTTGAATATCCATAACAGGATATTTGAATATATTCTTTACAGTTTTACTTCTGCGTATAGCTCAGCATGCCAAATCATTAACCCAATTAACCAAGCCAGATCCACATCTGCCATGGAATGACAATGAAGATTTTTAAAAGAACTTGGTATTTCACCTCCCTCCTAACGAAAGCAACTCAGACACCAATCACCATCATGGCGGCAGCTTTTATCAGCATGCTGATAAAAATTATTCATGATTCAGACTGCACAAACTCTTGGTACATCTCCTCTCTCGCTGCTTATCTGTGCATGTGCCCCTGGAAAGGTAAGAGTGAGCCAGTTTATCCCACATCATCCAGGCACGGAATCCTGTGCAGTTCAGTACCTCTGTGCCTTAACAGCGATTTGAGTTTTAAACAGTGGGAGCTGGAAACCTGAAAGATACCAGCAGCACTTCAATTCAAATGGCTTCTTTCTTATCATTTTATTGCACAGAAATTGAATGAAAATATTTGGGGCTTTGCTGGCATGCTGAATGAAAAATCCCTGTTCAAATAGCATCTGTGGTATTACACAGATCACACTGCTGTAGTAACCTGTGTGTGCTGTTAACATTAGGTATGATTTCAGGTGCGGGAGGTTCAGTTCATTAGGGATTTGTGTCTCCTGGTAAAAAAAGCTCATATAGATGAGAACGGTTCATTAGCTAGATGTAGCAGAGTTCATATGCTGCTTCAGTAACCCCTTAAAAATGCTTTATTCATCCTCATCCGCACAAATTCGCATAGTCTTTGCAGACCAGGAAGGATCTAGGAAGCCAGACAGTGCTCCCAAAGACTCGTGACAGAGCAGGGTGCATGCTGCTACGGAGCCAGGGTGGTTGTGTTAGTCCTGGCAGCAGAGCTGTTCCCAACTGCTGCAGCAGCAGTTCCTCCATCCCCAGGCTGTGCTGGCTGGGAGAAGGAGCCGGTGTCCTGAGCAACCTTGTCTCTCCAGCATGGACCTCGTTACTCTAATGAGCCATAGAAGCACAGAAGGAACTGCTCGAGCTTTGGAGGCAAGAGAGAGATGGACACTTCTGTGTGTGCACGGAGCTGACTTGGCGGCTCACTATGTTTGAGGATGATCCCAAGGTGATGTGATCCATGTGAAGTCCTCACAGTTCCCTGTTCCAAAGGTGCCAGTGAATACTGAAGTGAGGGCTGTGACCAGAATGAATGGTTGTGCCCATCTCCCTGGCAAGAATGGGAAGGCTGTTTGTGGCAGCAGCTGCTGTGTGTGTGTGGGGAGCAGCCTGGGGTCCTGTGTGGTGTCAGCTACGAACACAGGGTGCTGCAAAATGAGCCCAACAGCTCTCTGGCATTGCTGTGTTTGGTACTACACTGAGGATCTGTGTCAGCTGGCCCCACCATTTCTTTTATCTCCTTTTTGTTACTTAGTCTTGCTTGGATACCCACATGGAAGCTCAAGCCCCCTGTGTATGCTGGCCTGACATCCCTGGGGCAGGAGAGCTGCATGGCTGGAGGTGAGCTGGCTCCTTGGCTAAGCCAGGTGCCCATTTCTTGCTGGAGGAGAGGCAGCAAGGCAGGTCTGTCCATAGGGGCTCTGGCACCTGCCACCCTGAGTGGAGCACTGGGGAGGAGCTCGGTGTGGGCTGGTCCTGCACACCTCACCAAGGTGTCAGCCTGGTGGTGGGACCTGCCTCAGGGAGTTGCCTGTTCCTCAGCACCCAGGGATGCCTCTTTTAGTCTGGCATTATCTTTTGCCATAATGCAAACTGTGAGGTGCAACAACTGTGGGGCTACCTCATGTCTCTGCTAAGCTTATGGATCATCTTGGAAGAATGTCCAAGGAGAAACATAAATTCCCTGGAACTCATCAAGAAAATGGTAGCTCTTTGCCAATGTGGCAATTAGAAAAGTTTCCGTTTTCAGCATATTTTGAAGAGCTGAAGAAAACAATTGTCTTAGCTGATCCTGTGGCTGCATTAGTATTTGTGGGTATTTATAGGACACTGTACCAGATGAGCTTTCTGACCGTCGGGAGTGAGCCTGTCATTCTGGAGCCTCTTCATCAATGTGCCTTTCACGCTCCACAAGATTAGCAGCTGCTGAAAATAGGAAAAAGGAATTTTCCTTTCTTCTGTCTTAGAAGAGACCCATCACACCATCCTCCTTTCGTCTGGGCTCAGAAGTGGCTTTGGTCCTTAGCAAAGCCAGAGCACCAACAGGTCTTTTTAAAGAAGTTCCGCTCCCAGGAGGATCTAAGGGAAAATATCCTTTTTGTGTGTTTAGTAACACACATCAAAGGAAACAACCGTTCCAGTCTTGGTTTGCATTGTGCAGGCATTAGCTGTGGTCCAGTTCCACAGGCTCGAGGAGGCTGCAGTGTCCGTGCTCGTCAAGCTCTGACAGACACGGGGGGACTTAGCCAGGCCAGAACGTGCTCGGGGCACGTTGCTTTTGAGAAGAACAGAGCAATTTCCTTGGTGTCACAGGAGCCCCTTCACTGCCCCGGCCCCGGGTGGTGTGTGCCCAGCGGGAGCTGTGCCCGTGGGGTGGGCAGGGCTGCCTCACACCTGTCACAGCTCTTTGGTTCTCTCTGCAACATCCCAAATCCTACCTGCTCGCCCTGCACGGTGCCAGGAGCGGCCGTTCCAGCCGAGCATCGCGCTGCACACCCAGGAGCGGGCTCTGAAAGGGGGGCCACAGCCCCCCGAGAGCTCGGCAGTACCGGAGGGGAAATCACCTCTACACCCCCGGGCCGGGGCCCAGGGCACCGAGCTTCGTCTATAAAGGGGGGAGAGCCCGGGGGCCTGCCCTCCCCGGGGGGCTCTGTTCCCCGCCCTCCCTGCCGGCAGCGCCGGGACCAGCCCATCCGGGCGGACGCTCTGACCGGGACGCGCCGGTTGGGCGCCGGCGTTACCGAGGGCGGTGCCAGACGCGGTCCGCAGGTGCCGCCCGTCGCAGCCGCCCGCGGGTGTCCCGGCGGGGCCGCTTCCCTCACGCGCTGCCGGCTCAGCCCGGCGCGGGGCGGGGCGGGCCCGGCGGCCCCGCCAATCGCCGCCTTTGTTTGGGGTCACCGGGCGCGGGAGGGGCGGGGCCCACCGGGGCCGCGCGCAGCCAATAGGCGGGGCCGGGGGCGGGGCCGATTTCCCGTTCCGCGCGCCCTATTGGTCCCGCGCGACGTCACTCTGGCGGGCGGCTCCGCTCGTTGGCCGCCGGCGCGCGGGGCGCCGTGCGTCAATCGCCGCGTCCCGCCTCCCCTGCGGCGCGATTGGCGGCGGTGGCCGTCAAGTCGCACGGTGCCGTTCATTCAGTGGCTGCCGCGGCCATCGGTCACGCGCTCCGTCCTGCCCCCTCGTCCGCCCAGCGCCGCCGCTGAGTGGCTGCGGCTCGTGCCACTGAAGCGGTACCGCGCTTCTATTGGTGGGGCGCGTTGTCCATCGCGCCCATCCCCTCCGGGCGCCCGCCTCCCGCCGGCCGCGATTGGCCGCCGGGGGTGTCAGTTCGGCGGCTCGGCCAATGGGCGGCGCGGGGCGTGCGCGGTGCGCGCGGGGCGGCCGGGCCGGCGGCGGCGCGGGAGGAGGCGGCGCGCGCCTGGTCCCGGTCGCGAGGAGGCGGAGGAGGATGTGGCGCGCGGAGGGGAAATGGCCGCCGAAAACAAGCCGGAAGGTGAGAGCGCGGCCGGGCCGCCCCCGCCCCGCGCCGGGCCCCGCGCCGGGCCTGCCCGCCGGGCCGCCCCCGCCCCCCGCCACGGCCCCGCCGCGAGGCGGCGGCGACACAGGCCGGGCCGCGCGGTGCGAAGTTTGCGGCGGCGGCGGCGCCCCCGCGGGGTCGGGCCGGGCCGGGCCGGGCCGGGC